AAAACTGCTAAAGATATTTCCATTTTGTTTCTTGATTGGCCTCCTCTCTTGCAATATTCTTTGTTTTTATGGGAGCATCATCAGCTTTGTGATTTATCATTAACAACTTTTTCACTGTAGGAGAGTAGGATCCCATTCCTTTAGAACAGTGGTTCTCAACCTTCCTAATGCTGAGACCCTTTAATACAGTTCCTCTTGTTGTGACCCCCAACCATAAAATTACTTTCATTGCTACTTCATAACTGTGATTTTACTACTGTTATTAATCGGGTGAACCCTGTGAAAGGGTCATTCGACCCACAGGTTAAGAACCGCTGCCTTAGCGGTTGGTCAGTTAGACAACAATCATTGTGTTTGGTATATGAGAAACAGGTGACTTCTCTTCTCTGGGCACATTATGCTCATCTTTGAAAAACCCCTTTCTGATTCTGAACATACAACAGTTGTTCTGACAATATTTTAAGCGGTTAGAACATTTTCAGGAAAAAATTTTTAAAAAGACCAATAGCATTTTTAAAAAACAGGTTCTTTTTTATATGGTCCACACATCATTCAAGTCAATAGTTCATGTGAAGAAGAGTTGTATAATCACTACTACAATACATGTAAGAATATTTTCTTTCTTGTACTCCTTAATAACTCCCTATTTGTCCTGCCACACTCCACAGAAACCACTAATCCAGTTCCCCTCTCTATCAATTCACTCATTCTGGATTTCACATACTCCAAAATATCCAAAAACAAAAACAAAAAAAAGCTAACAACAATAACACAATAGAGAAAAACCTCAATCAGAAAGAAAACAGAACATATTAAAAACTAGAACTTTAACATGGGTCAAAAGGGAGACCAAATGATAAGGTGATAAATGTTAAACTAGTTACATCTGCCATAATCCACTTTCTAATGTACTCTGCCCGATGATGGCTGGACTAGTCACATTCCTGGCCTATGTTCAGAGGGGATTCACTTGGTGCTTAATCCACGTGTACTTCCCTTCCGCTTTCTTTCTGCAAACCGGGCATTCACAATTTAAACGTTGATACCATTCCCTCCTTTAAATTTGGATTACATTATTTACAATCCTTAGCACACAAAAAAGTCCAGGATGGTTTCGTTTGGGATAATATCCCTGATACAATATTATTTGGAATTCTTCCTCTTCACTCATGTCCCTCAGAAACACACACAATTGTTCCTTTATTTTCACAAGCCAAACGTTTTTTGTTTTTTTTGTTCTTTTTTTTTTCTTTTTTAACATTTTATTAGGGGCTCATACAACTGTTATCCCAATCCATACACACATCAATTGTGTAAAGCGCATTTGTACATCGTTTCTCAAAACATTTTCTCTCCATTTAAACCCCCGACATTAGGTCCTCATTTTTCCCCTCCCTCCCCGCTCCCCCCTCCCGCATGAGCCCTTGATAGTTTATAAATGGGTATTTTGTCATATCTTGCCCAGTCCGACGTCTCCCTTCATCCACTTCTCGGTTGTCTGTCCCCCAGGGAGGAGGTCACACACAGTTCCATGTAATCGGTTCCCTCTTTCCTACCCATTCTCCCTTTACCCTCCCTGTTTTGCCACTCACACCACTGGTCCTATAGGGCTCATCCGTCCTGGATTCCCTGTATTTTCAGTTCCTATCTGTACCAGTGTACCTCCTCTGGTCCAGCCAGTCTTGCAAGATAGAATTCGAGTCATGGTAGTGGGAGCGGGGAGGAAACCTTTAGGAACTAGAGGAAGATTGTATTTCTCATCATTGTTACATCGCACCCTGACTGGCTCATCTCCTCCCTGAGACCCCTCTGCAAGGGGGTCTCCAGTGGCCTACTAATGGGCTTTGGATCTCCACTCCGCACTCCCCCCATCATTCACTATGGTAAGATTTTTTGTTCTGATGATGCCTTACACCTGATCCCTTCGACACCTCGTGGTTGCATAGGCTGGTGTGCACAAGCCAAAAGTTTTCGGCGTCCCATCAGGTTCTTCTGTAGATGTCTATTCCATCCCCGGTTGTGGGGAGACTCCCCAATCGCCTCTAGGAATCCCCGCCCCCTACGGCTCACCTGGCCCCGCCCATACCCCGCCCATCAGGAACATGTGCCTCTAACCCCGCCCCTTTGAGCCCACCATCCACAGACCAGGAAATACGCATTAGCTCCGCCCCCCGTGAAGCCACGCAGCTCGCTCAGCTCCGAGTCCACCCACTTTGCTCCAGGCTCCTCCCAGAAAGGTCCTGCACTCGCCTTTCCAGTTGTCTTAAGCTCACTGGCTCCTCCTTCCGGAAAGTGCTCTGTCCTCTCCTAAGTGCGTCTCACTTGCTCCGCCGGGAACGGGCACCGCTCACCCGCTCTTAGACCCGCCCACACGGCCTTGGGCTCCGCCCTCTCCATCCGGGCTCCACCACTCAGAAAGTGCCTCGCGGCTCCGTTCACCTACGGTTCCTCTTCCACGCTAAGGAAACTGGCGATGCTCGCCCCGCCCAGACTCCGCCCACCGCTCGTATCCCCGCCCACCAGATCAAGATTCCTTGCTTCCCGAACCGGCTCTTCTGGTGCGCACGCTGGCTGTCCTCACTTGAGCCCTCCCTCTGAGTTACGCTAGGTGGTCGGCTTGCGGCCGCGACGCTGGCCATGGAAGGGGACCACTTCCCCGCCACCGCCTCCTGGTACCAGCCGGCCAGCCCCCCGCGGGACGCCTGTGTCTACAGCAGCTGCTACTGGTGAGGGACCAGGCTCGCTGGGCCGCGGCGCTGCCTCCCAGCCCGCCTCTTTCCGGGGCGCTCCGGGCCGCAGCACGCGGGCTTTCCTGTTTTAGGGAGCAGGCGGCGGGGGTGGCAGCCCTGACCGCTCTAGAGTAAAGCGTGGGTAATTGGATGGGGGGATTGGTCGGGACTGGCAGAGTCGATGGGCATGCTGGACTTCCGGTTGGCGATTTTCGGTTTGACCTCGGCAGATCCCAGTGGGAAGGGGGAGTTAGAGGCGGAAGGTGGAGCCCTGAGAATCCTTGATGACGGTTGCAGTGTATGGTTTCAGATGGCTACCAAGGCCATTTTAATTTGGGAGGAGAATAGAGATGCAGAATTTGAAGTAACGTTCCTAAGGTCACGCTGATTATGTTGTTGGGTGCCACAGTCTGTCGCCAGCCCTAGCGACCTTATTGAAAACCGATCGAAACGTAGCCTGGGTCCTGCGCCATCCTCACACTCTTCTTTTTGAGCCCATTTTGCAATCATCCTGTTGAAGGCCTTCCTCTTTTCACTGCCCCTCTGCCTTCTCCAGGGTCTGGTTTCTCCTGACACCATGTCCGTAGTACTTGAGACGAAGTCTCTCCATCCTTGTCTCTAAGGAGTCTTCTGGCTGTACTTCTTTCCAGATACATTTGTTTATTCTGTTGGCCATCCGGGGGACTTTAAGTATTCTCCTCCAGCATCCCAATTCAAATGCATCAATTCTTCAGTCTTCCTTATTGAATGCTCAACTTTCACATGCATACGAGGTGATTGAGAATACCATGGCTGGGTTCAGGTGCACAGGAAGCATCAAGAGAAGATGGAAAGAATACACAAAGTCATTGTACCCAAAAGAACTAATTGGCATTTAACGGTTTCAGGAGATAGCATACGAGCAAGGACCAGTGGTGGGGAAAGAAGAAGTTCAAACTGCACTGACAGCAGTTCGCTACATCTTTCTCTCACCGAGCAGAGGGTGGGTCCAAGCCTGTGCTTCCACCACGCCCCCTCTCCGTTCCCCTAGGAATGGAGAGACCAACTGAGCTACATTCGGCCTCCATCTTCAAGTCTTCCTCACACTCAGCACCTACTGCCTCTGTGCTCCCGGTGGGCAGCTTTTAGGCCAGTGGTTCTCAACCTTCCTAATGCTGCGACCCTTTAATGCACCTCATGTTGCACCCCAACCATTAAATTGTTTTCATTGCCACTTCATCACTGTAATTTTGCTGCTGTTATGAATCGGGCGATGCCTGTGAAAGGGTCCTTTGACCCACAGGTTGAGAATCGCTGTTTTAGGCTTTCTGTTCTTGGTGTTTGTAGATCTGTACGCCCCCTCTCTTCCTCTGTGCTCTCAATGGATCACTCTCTTTCCCACCCTCTTAGCACAGGATCTGACAGGTGTGTATGGCCAGCCCCCACATCTCCTGTGAGCTGTGCAGATCAATGTCTTCTCAAAATTTGGTCTTAGACTTAAAAAAAAAAATTTGTTCCCCCACCACCACCACCACATGCTCCGTGTCCTTAGGTGGCACAGCTAGTTCGTCTTAGTCCTACGTTCAAGGTTGGCAGTATGAACCACCCAGTGGCATCATGGAAGAAAGGCCTGGTAGTTTGCTTTGTAAAGATTCTGGCCCAGAAAGCCCTCTGAGGCAGTTCTCCTGTGATGTACATGCGTCCACTCAGTGACCCTAGACTTGGTTGGCTCGTGGGTTACTCCATGCCCTTGACTCCACAGGCCGTTGGTGTTCTTGCTCCTCTGCGCTACAAACTGTACTGGAGTGGTCACTGGCACCTCCTCTCCGTGCAACGGCCACTGCTTCCCCCTCAAGGTTTCTCTGGTGTCTGGGAGAAAAGAACCACAATAGGAGAAAGATCCACACCCAACTTTATTATTTTACGTGTTACATTACGATCGGCCAAGACATGTGATTGTCCTTCACACGGTGAGAGCCCTCCCTCCAGGCTGTTGGTGCCTCTCTTGGTTCTCGGAGAACTTGGTGTAGGTGGCTTAGAACCAGACTCTGACAGACTCGCGTCCTGGTTTGGGTTTCAGAGTGTGGGTATGACATGGTGGAGAAGGACAGGAGCCCTGAGCTGTGTGTACTATCCTCGCCATCTGGCCACCCGTGCACGGGAATGTGGTTGGTTAATGCTCAGTTTGTTGTGGGGCATACCTTCTCTCAGGTGGCTTCTGACCTCGGCTCCGACTAGCCAGGGGCCGTCCTGTAGAAGAGTCTGGGGCAGAACATTACCAGCCTACCCAGCATACCAGCCTGACCAGTTGCTGTTGAGTTAGTTCTGACTCATGCTGACCCCATGTGCGTGAGAGTCGAACTGTGATCAGCATTCAGTGGCTGATGTTTTTAGAAGTGGCCTTCTGAGGTGCTTCTGGGTGGACCCTCCTTGGTGGTGGTGGGGTTGTTGAGTGTATTAAAGTTTGTGCCACCTGGGCACTCCATAGGACAATGGGTGTCCATTCAGCATGGAAAAGAACTTCTGAGAGTCAGAATCTTTGCCTTACTGGGGCTGGTGGAGGCTCCCTCCAAAAAAAATTCCAATTCCTCAGCCAGACAGCCTCACTGCCTCATTCCTAAGGGGAGCAGAGAACCAGGCCGTTATGCCCATTTTACAGACAAGAAAAGTAGATACTCAGAAGGTCAAGGTGTCCAAGGGTTCTCAACCTTGTGAAGTGGTTGAATTGGAATTCTAGTGTTTCTCAAGTCTCCTTGAACCCAAAATGCATGGAATATTGACGTCGGACGTTTTTGGTTATAAGTCCCTGTATATGTGTGCACTGAATGCTGTGGGAGGTGAGCGCTCTGTCTGGGTCCACACGTCATCAAGCCTGGCGATCAGCAGGTTTCTTCCAAGACAGAAAGACTCCCGTCAGCGTGCTCCTGAGAAGCGAGGATGGAGAGACTTTGATCTGCTCATACAGGCCATCCCTGGGAAAGGACTTCATGAATGGTACAGGAGGGGTCAATGGAAGTGAGGGAAACTCTCTGTGCACTGGATTGACATAGAGAATGCAGTGGATTCAAACAGGGCAAGGGGCATCATGAACATGGCCCAGGCACCGTTCTCTGTTGCACATCAGCCCGCCCTGTGTTGGAGCTCACTAACAGCCGCAGTTCGCTGAGTATGTATTAGGTGGGATTCAAACCTTAACCGGTGGTTAGGTGGGCTGGTGCAGAAGATTTCTTCTGACTCTTCTACGGTATCACTAGTCTTGTGTTCCAATTCAGACAGGAACGTAGAATGTTGTCTTACTGATACTGATTCAGCCATTATTTTATTTCAGCGAAGAAAATATTTGGAAGCTCTGTCAATACATCCAAACGCAGGACCGGTATCCGTTAGAAGAGTGTTATGCTGTCTTCATTTCCAACGAGAGGAAGATGGTAAGCTGATGAGGGGTGGCCGGAGACACACCCGACTTGGGACACTGCCCCAGTTGACTGCCCTAACGCGTGTTGGGTAAAATGCTGCCACACTTTGAAGCTTGTTTTGACTCAGAAGCATTTAGTCCCTTGTTTGTAGGAAAATAAACATCAGATGGTGTGCCTATGTGGAGTAAGCCCCTTTCCTTCTGGTGTTTAATTTAGAGCTGCTTTAATTGCTTGAGCCCTGGAGGCTTCGTGGTGGTGACGTGGGCTGCTAACGGCAAGGTCAGCAGTTTGAAGCCACCAGCCGCTCAGCGGGAGAAAGAGGAGGCTTTCTACTGCCATAGAGAGTGATAGGCTCGGAAATCCACAGGGGCAGTTCTATGAGTTGGCAATGAGTGTTTTTGTTTGTTTGTTTCCCCTTATGTTTGAAATGAACTTGTATGTCCCTGAAGACCCCGAGTCCGCTTCAGTTTTCCCTCTCCCTCCTCTTTAGCCTCTCAGAGCAATATTTGGATCTGAGGGGTAAGGCACCTGGAGGCTTTCTATTTGTTTATGGAGCAATTTTTATTTCATTTTATTTATTTAGTTGCCTGGTGGCCCCTCCATTGTTTTTGAACCCCAGTCTCAATCTCTCTCAGTTCCCTTTTGTTACCCCCATTTTTAAATTGCCTAGATTAGGAACATATTCTCAGGCTTGAAGTAAAGAACTCATCGTCTGGAATGCAAATAGAACTGTAGTAAAGTTAGGGGAAGCGTTTAAAAAAAAATAAAAGCAAGCTCTTACTGTTGCATCGATTACCATATATACTGGAGTATAAGCCGACCTGAATATATCAGCCGATGCACCTAATTTTATCACAAAAATGGCATTAAAAATGTGCTGAAAACCCTGGCTTATACACGAGTATGAATGATACTTTTGCAAGCACCATTCCATTCGATCTCACAGGAAACCCTGTGAAGGAGGTGGTACTTGGCCAGCCCTCTCTGAGGCAATGGGGGTGAGGGTGGGGTGAGAAGCAGGAACCCAGAGCTATGTGTATTGTCCATGGATTCATATGATGACGTGGTGAACCAGCCCTGGCTCCCGACTCCTTGTTCAAAGCCTTTCCTGCGTCTCAAAAGAGCAGCATAAAGCCCAATTTCATGACTAAGGACACTTAGAAAGGACTTGCATTTCTTACTCACTCCTTTTTCCTCAATTGTTGGTTGCTTATAAGTATGTCGTTTCTCATCTATAGTTTGATGTAAAGAGCTTGGGAGCGGCTTAACTGAAGTTGTAGCTCACGGACACTACTGTGTTTTCTAGATACCCATCTGGAGACAACAGGCGAAACCTGGAGATGGGCCCGTGATCTGGGTAAGATGGCCAGTTCGGTTCCCGCGGCACCAGGACCTGCCACTGGTGGTCTGCACGCAGTGATGAGGCTGAAGTGATGGGGCAGCAGGAGAACCTGTGGTAATTGGAACAAAATTGATCGAATGGGAGTCAAAGTCCGTTGGTGTAAGGTCAAAGCAGTTACAGGAATGGTGATATTTAGAAATTACTGTGGGGATGATTCAGTTGAGGGGGTACCCCCCGAAAAAAGGGAACTTTTTTTTCAAAGCTATGTACATACATTTTTTTTACAAAATAACCTTATCACCTTCAAAGTTTTCTCCATGACACTTAATACATTTGTCAAATCTGTGCTTCCATTGTTAGAAACATTTTCAAACTCATCTGTTTGGATGGCTGACAGCACCTCCCTCGTTTTTTTATTCACCTCTTCGGTGTCATCAAATCTCTTGTCTTTTCATGTTCCTCTTCATTCTCGAAAACAAAATGAAGTTGCACAGAGCAAGGTCAGGTGCATGGGGCAAGAGAAGCATGCTGTTTGGTGCCCAAAACTGGGGTGCACTGAGATGGCTGCACGAGCAGGTGCATTGTCGTGGTGGTAAAACCAGTCCCCTGTCTGCCACCAATCAGGCCTTTTTGTTGCACACAATGCAGCAATCTTTTCAGAACCTCCACATAGAGAGCTTGATGAACAGTCTCACCTGGTGGAATGAACTCCAAAAGCACCATCGCCCTCATCAGTGGAGCTTTTTTCCTTTATTGGGGGGCATACCCCCTCTTACGGCTGACTCGGGCTGATCAGTTTGTGGTCCCCTAGCATCTGACACAGTCATCACTGGAAGGAACTTTGGGGGCACTATTGGAAATGAGGTTTTTGGTTCCATAGGTCTGGTGAGGTGTTTACAGCAAGGCCGAGGGTGCAATAATGGAATTCTTTCCTTCCAGGCCAGAGACCTTGGCTCGATTCCTTATTCCCAGCCAGGATGCCTCCTGCAGTCACCTCCCATCTTGTCAGTTGTGGTTTCTGTGTTGCTATGATGCCGAATGGGTTTGAGCAGGTCTTCCAGTCCCAGATGAGTAGGAAGAAATGCCTGGTGATCTCCTTCCCAAAAATCAATCAAGGGAAGACCCACAGATCACAGTGGCCTGATAGTTGTCAATTCTGTGGGTGGCACAGGACCAGGCTGTGTTTCTGTCTGCTGTGCAGGGGGTGACCATGAGTCCAGGGCCGAGTTGACAGCTAACTTCAGGGAATGGTTGAGGAATGAGTATCCTGAGCCAACTACCAAATGAACATGACTACATTTGCAAACTTTAAATCCCCACCCCTTCTTCTTGGTGATGAGACCTTGGTTATTGACCTCCTGCCATGGGAAATGGCCATCAGCAGGACATGAGCTGCCTGCAGTGTAGGTCATTGTCTAGGGGCGTCAACCACCCCTGCAGCCCAGCCCAGCCCAGCCCATGGTTGTCTTTTCCACTGAGTCACCTTCCCTCCAGCTCTCTCTCCCTGACTTGGTTGGAGCAGGGGAGGCCCGGCTTCCCAGGACGTTTGAGAAGTTATCGGGGCATCTGGGATGGGCCAGACTAAAAACCAGACAGTGGTAAATTTTGAGTGCTTATGCCTTTTCTAAACCCCGCCCACCTCCCTGCCCTGCCAGCCCCTTCCTTGGAAGGCTGCTGGGAAGATAAGCTCCGCTCCCTGTTGGCTTTTAAAAAAAATCATTTTATTGGGGGCTCATACAACTCTTTTCACAATCCATACATCCATCCATTTTGTAAAGTACATTTGTACATTTGTTACCCTCATTCTTGAAACATTTGCTCTCCACCCTGTTGGCTTTTTAAGGGCCAGTGTTTGCATACTTAGTCTCAAGAATTCTCCCAGGGCCTTGAGAGGCTGGCTCCCTGGTTTTATAAAGAAGAAACAGACTGGCCAGTGGAGGGATGGTGGGGCTTCAGAAGGCCCTCCTGGCTGCCTTTGCGATAGAAAGCACCCATCCTCATGCCCTGGGGTCACTATGCATTTCTTTACCAGTGTGATGGGATCTCTTTCACCTTGGTGTCTGAAGTGTTAAACAACATCCAAACTCCACCATCAAAAAGTCGATTCCAACTTGGTGGCCCTTGAGGCACAGTGTGGAACTGCCCCCAAGGTATAAGGTCCTTACTTGGAGCAGCCTGCTGTGTGGTACAAGGGGTTAAAGACAAACGTGTGGGCTAAGACAGGTTGCTTCTGGTCTGGGCCTGGGAAAGATAAGATAAAGCATGGGTTGTGAGTGCTGGGTTTGGGGGCATGGTGGGAAGGGGGGGGGGAGGGAGGGGGAGGGGCACAGGGGGAGCCTAGCAGAAGGAGGTGGGCTGTTGTGAGGGGAGCGAGCTAAGAGGAGGTGTCCAGAAGGTGGGAGGCATTAGGTACAGCAAGAGAAAAGCGCTCATTGCTGGTGCCAATTGCATTTTCCAAAGATGGAGCCAGAGCTGGAGGTAGAGCCTGAGCTGGAGAAAGCACTGTAGGCTCTGATGGTGGACCCTCTAAAAACCAAAAGCAAAAAACAATGTCCAAAACAAACTCACTGCCATCGAGTCAATGCTGACTCAGTGGCCCTATAGCACAGGGTAGAACTGCCCCTGTGAGTTTCTAAGACTGTCACTCTTTATGGGAGTAGAAAGCCGTGTCTTTATTCCTCAGAGCAGCTGGTGGTTTTGAACTACTGACCTTGAGGTTAGCAGCCCAACTTGTAACCAGTATGCCACCCAAGAGCTCTTACCATTTCTTGATAAGCTCCCCACAGTCCTGTGCAGCTGCAGCTGCAGCCGGCCATTGTCTGGGGTCTGGGAGCGAATGAGAATGAGCACACACTGGCAGAGCCACACAGAGACGCCAGTTTTCTCTTTCCTCAATGGCTGCAGCTGAGGGTTAAATACTTTTTTTTTTTTAACTGTGAAAGTTGTACCTAAGTGTCATGGCAAACTTGTGACAGTTCAGAAGCATCCTTAAATGACAGTGAAGCTCTCCCCATCTCCAGGCTGACTCTGAGCAACTCCTTTTTGATCCAACTTAGTGGTTTGATGGAGAATGCCGGACCCCCGATACTGTGGCCCTTAGATGCACTGCAAACCTGGAATGCCACCCATTCCCCAGGGATCCACCTTCAGCCTGTGTGTCCTGTATGCAGCCGCCCTGGGGGTGCCTTGGTGAAATGTCTGCTGCACACTAGAAGGTTCATAACTATCGGTTTGAACCAAGGCCGCTCCACTTCAAGGGAGCAAGATGTGGCCGGCTTAGAAGGAGGACAGCAACAGACCTACCAGGTGAACAGTAACTCCAGGGAGCACAGCTCCCCAGTGTAATCAACCAGACACCACCAGCAGAGAGCTTCCACCCCAGACCAAAGCTCGTACAGCAGGAGGGGCCGGAAGGAAGGGCTATGGAGATGGGGAGTCCAGAGGGGAGTGCTGTTACATTGAGGGTCTCCCAACGGATGTCCCCAAACCAAACGTGTTTGAGAATTGTTGACGGTTGTTGTTAGTTTCCGCTGAGTCAGTTCTGACCCATAGCAACCCTGTGCACAACAGAGCGAAACACGGCCCTGCACCAACCTCACAGTTGTCGTTCGTATGCCTGAGCCTGAGCCCACTGTTGCAGCCAGGGTGTCAGTCCGTCTTTGAGGACCTTCCTCTCCGTCGCTGTCCCTCTACCATATCTAACCAGAAGTCCTTCTCCAGGAACTGGTCTCTCCTGACAACATGACCGATGTTTACAAGACAAAGTCTTGCCATCCTTGCCTCCAGGGAGCACTCTGGCCACAGAAAACGAATTTGCTCTCTCAACTCTCACCCAAAACACAATAGAAAGTTTTTTGTTTTTAAAGGTAGTCCCCCTCCTTTAAAAAGTTTCCCCCCATCTTTTAAAAAACAGTTGGAAGATACTATTGGGGATGGTTTTCTGTGAAGTTATGTGTGTTCTTGTGCATACAGGACTGTTAGGAAATTAACAGATGAGACCGATCCTGCGATTGCTCTTTGTATCCAAAGTGGACCGTTCTCCCTTCTTCACAGGTGTGTCCCTCAGTCTTTCAACAGCTGCCCAGGCTCCAGTCGGTGACCGAGCCCTCGTTTGTGATGTGCTCTCCTTGGCGGGATTTTAGTTGCTCCTGTGATTCCGCTGTGATCCAGGGACTGCAGAGGCTCTCCTGGTATCTGGGCCTCACTGCTTCCAGGCCTTTTTATGCAGGGCCACTCCTGCAGGTCCCACTGCTGGGTCCAGCGGGTCTTCGTTTACATCCTCTGAACATTTCCATTACGAATGTTCTTGTCGCCAGGCATTAGGCCTGTTGTCAGGGCCTGGTGGTTGTATTAGTTCTCTGTGCCGTTCTGTTGCTGTGTGTGCTGTGGAGGTGATTCTGACTCATAGCGACCCTGTAGGACCTGAGAGGGCTTCCCAACGGTACGCTTCAGAAGCAGACTGCCGCATCTTTCTTTCTTTCAGTGGCTGGTGGGGTCGAGCTGACCATCTTTTAGTTAGCAGCTGAGCACTCCACTAAGGCTCCCTTTTGCTGTTCAAAGGAGGGCTGTATTAGACTGTATCTGATTTTGATACTGTGTGAGCCATTGAAGACAGCGATGGTGGTGGAATTCTCCCTTCCACGGGCTCGGTTTTCAGCCAGTGTCCATCATTCAAGCTCATCCACTACTTCCCTGCCTGTCAGTGGAGTCTTGTGTGTTGTTATGATGCTGAATAGGTTTCCAAGGAGCTTTAAGACTAAGGCAAGCCAGGAAGAAAGGCCTGGTGATCGATATCTGAAAGCCAGTTAGTGAAAACTCTGGGTCACCCAGCGATCTGATCCTGCTATACATGGGATTCCTGTGCATCAGGAGCCAATTCTTTGACAGCTAACAATGCTAGCATTATTGTTATTATTCTTAGGATTGTTCTTGTTACTGTTAGCCCAGCAAGGTTGTAACCTTGGACCTCCATCATCACGAAAGAGGTTGTTTAACTGTAGCGACCTTCTCTCCCAGGATTACCATGTTGTTTTGCTTCATGTCTCCAGCCGAGGACAGAGCTTCATTTACGATCTGGACACGGTCTTGCCGTTTCCTTGCCCCTTTGACGCCTACGTGGAGGAGGCCTTCAGGTCTGATGACGACATTCACCCACAGTTCCGAAGGTGAGGACACTCAGGAGGGGCTTGCCTACTTCCTGAAGACGTGGACGGTGACACAGGGCTTCTTGCATTGGCAGCTTAAGGATCACCTGCCTTTGCGTTGCCAGAGTCGAGAATGCTGTGCTCCATAGAGCATCCAGCACGCTCTGAAGCAGCGGTTCTCACCTGTGGTTCCCAGCCCCTTTGGGGGTCGAGTGACACCTTCTTTTCACAGGGGTCGCCCGATTCATAACTAGCAAAATGACAGTGATGAAGTAGCAATGAAAATAATTTGATGGTTGGGGGGTCACCACAACACAAGGAACTGTATGAAAGGGTTGCAGCATTAGGAAGGTTGAGAACCACTGCTCTAAAGTTTTAAGGGTTGCCCAACAAAAAGGTTGGCAGTCATTTAAAAATTGTGTGATGAGTTCCCAGGTGTTTTCTTGAAGGTGTATTGGGAATTTCCCTTACACTCGTGTTCGTGTTGGAAATGCCTGTATTGCTGTGTGGAGAGGGCTGAATATGGCAGCACCTGCGTATTAAGCCCTTTGCCTCATCTGCAACTGAGAAAGTGAGGGTGCAGCTTTCTCCCAGTAGCTTAGAGCATAGAAACTTTGTTTCTCAAAGCACATACTATATAACATCTTGTTCCGTAGAACAGTAACTATGCTATAATGTATCTTTGTTACTTAACAGATACAAATAAGCATAATGTATATGTTCTGGGGCGCTTGCGCGCGCGCGTGCGCGCACACACACACACACACACACACACACACAAGCATATACAAAGGGGCTTCAAAAAGTTTGTAGGAAATTTCTGCTACTACTGAATTCTCGTTTCCCATGAGCTCTGTGAAGGCCCTGCTGTGCTGTACAGTGAACCCTCGCCACTTCGCGCTTCGACTTCCGCGGCTTCACTCTATCGCGTGCGTAACAGCGCATGCTCTGTCATTACTGCCACTGATTGGCTCATTACTGTACACGCTTCTGTCTGCATCGTTACATATCGGAGCTACATATCAGATGCATTTTTGCTTTTGTACAGTGTACTGTAATTGTTTGCGATTTT